GTTATACTAACAATAAATAGTGGAGACCAATATAATTATATAAAATTATTATTTTCCCAAGTATTTATATCTGAGACCTACCTCACCAAATGGGGTATAAAACTGTACAACATTGATGTCCTTGTCCTAGAAAAAAAAAAAAAAAAATTCAGTTGAATTGAATTGGCAAAAGATAAGCAAGAAAATATGCTGCTACGTGTCTTTACATGTAGTGTGCAAGCCATGCTAGCGCTACCTATTGGTTGGGGAAGAAATTATAGTATTCTAGGAACTTTATAGGCCATAAATTTCAAGTGACTGTTAAAAGGAAAAATCACCAAAATGTAATATTTGATTTTCAAACTTACCTAAAACGTTCAAGAGAAATTTGGAAATTAACATCCTTATTTGGAAATTACGGTGACCATAAATGAAGTTCTCATGGTTCAGGAGATTAAGTGATTCATACAAATGAAACCAAACTGACCATGAGGCTGTAGGCCTTCTTCAGTTTGTTGTGAAAAAAATATGCAACATGTTGAGTATTGTTGGCTCAAATTTGGCAAATTTCAAACTTGAGTCACAACACCCCACGTCGCAACAGGCTGGCCAAACGTGTTGCGCTTACGAATGTTGCAACGTGTTGTGTTGCAAAGTTGCGATTGTTTGGTCGGGCTTAATTAAGACTTCAAACACATAATTTGTAGCATTGCTATGAATATTACAGTTGTCAGAAATTGTTTGCTCATTCACCTGGCCAGCAGCTCTTTGCATACCGGCAACAGCCAGCACTGAACCACAGTTATTCCACTGAATGTTCATTACAGCCATTGAAGTGTCAATCAAAACAGGATCTATAGTAGAAAGATATGTTATTAAGCTTTTAATTATTACATAGAGTGTTTTACTGGAAAATAAACCATTCATGAAATTCATATGAAAATACATCCAGGACCCAGGTCACGTATTTTCAATATTCTCACTAGTGAGGATATTGATGATGTCATTTCCCACTTTCTCACTGTTGTTTCAATTTGCACAGACAGTCAGTTTGTTTATACATGTATAATAAAAAGAAAATGACAAGGTCCCTTGATGAAGATATGAATTTTAATCTCTCGGGTTAAAATCAATATTTAAATCACTCACAGCTGTGCTTGCTCATAAAATATTGTTTCTACCATTAAAAAATAACATTCATACATTATCTTTGTGCCACCCGCGTGAAATATGTAATATGTATATACATGTATGTATAATTTGTGCTGTATTTGTCTTTCCCCTTGATCAGATCCTCTGCTTGATTAAAGAACTAAGCTGAATACAAGGCATAATTTGTAGGATGGGTTTGTGAGAAAAAAACACATGTAGCAAAAGGTTACGGGAAATAAATTCTTTGTGAAAACAAATTCAGTGGCCTTCATATAGAAAAATGTTGTAGTTTCAATTAAATAGTTTGATTTTTACTGTCCTTTTTGTACATGACATGCAATTTCTACAAGCTGTGACAAGAGTCAAAAGTGAACAAAAATCAAACCAAACTAAAATTAAACTAATTACATTTAACTAAGACAAGATGCACAGCACTGTAAGTTACTCACTTTCATCCAATTCATGTCTCATAATCTGCATACGTCCCATGTCAAAGCACACTGCCAGGCATGGACAGTTAGGCTCAACAAACCCTTCTCTTCCATCATACCTAGCAAGAGTGTTTTTAGAAATGTTCAACACATGTTAATTAATTAGATTTTCAGTGAACCTGATGTTATTCAGCTGGGCATTCTGGCAGTGTAAACCTGGTTTCCCAAACATCAGGTGTATATGTTGTTCGTCCTTCGTAGTTGAAGATGACCATGATATGTAATCATACAATTTCATGTACATGTAAAGAAAAAGTTCTGTTGACTGTTTGCATGAATTATTATTTCCCAGTTCCTCTCTAATATCCTGTTACATGTGCATGTATTTCATTCACATGTAAATAAAAAATATATTACATGTACATACATGACATGTTATTATTTCAGTGTAAATTACTTTTTACGTTACATGTACAACCAATGACACATTTATAGACTGCATTTTTAGTTCGCATCATCGCAGAGAAACTATTAAAAAGTCAGGAAATGATCCTTTGTCTTACAAGTATATGATGTAGATATAACTTTAAAAATCAAAATTCCTTAAACTGTAGATGTAGAAACAATCAACTTTATTTAAAATTTTCGGTGTTTCTGAATATTTGTGTTTAACATAACATTTATCATTGGGCACAAGATTTGTATTTCTGATCATAATTGATTAACTGAAAAATATCTTACCACTCAATTCCAGCGATCTTAACAGCTCCTGTTACATTGGCAAGGCAGAACAAGGTCATCTTTGTCTGGAAAGTAAACATAAATTAAAATAAATGAACTGTAAATAGGGAGAACCACTTTTTTTGCTGTCAAGTGAAGCTACTATGAGTGTCAGTTGAGTAAGGCGCGACGAAAGTTTGGTGACCAGGTTTTAACATCCAACTTGTGTGGTTGTCATGGGCAACTGGCTCCGTTTCCATTGGCAACTTGACACCTTTGACTTCATTGGCAGCAAAGTGCCGGAAACACCATTGGAGAATGAGGAAAGTTGCCCATGGCAACACCTTAATTTCTGGTTCAACATTTCATCAACGACAAAAAAAAGAACCTTCGAAAAAACACCTCCACTGCACCTTAATCAACTGGTAATCGTAGTATTACTTCATTTTCTCTAAATCTTACACAAAAGTTTCCTATGTTATCAAAAATCTGAACTTCTCCATTGCTGATTCCAAACACAATGTTTTTTCCATCTGGAGACCACTCAACATTTGTGAGCTGTAGGCCTTTCAGTTCTTTTCCCCAGATCCTGTTTCCGTCCACTGAACCAACAATTACGGCACCTAAAATACAAAACACAAATCAATATCAAATGTCAATATTAATTATATTACAATATGTATTACTATTCTCAGTCAGCATGCAGTTTAGACAAACTGGATTGTGCATACAATCTAATTGGTTAACAAAAGGTCCAGAAATGTGTATTTTTCACCTGACTGCAGGTACCTTTTTCTTTGATACGAGGATCACAAATCAATGGTCAATGTTACATTTGGTCAATAACAACTACATTACATGCTCATATACATGTACATGTAGCTTACTGGTATGTCAGTACCTAGTTACATGTCATTGTATTATGTACTCCATGATTTTAAGAAAAATTATAAAAAATCAGAGTCACTTTTCTTGTATGAATCTATAATATCCTTCCCTCCTTCCCACAAAAGAACATATATATATTAATTATCTACATGTAGATACAGTTACAACTGGTAGAATTTCAGCTCAGATATACATAATAATATTATAAGGAGATAAAAATTATAAAGTTAGTTAAGGGCTAATACTGTGAATAATTTGCACACATAATTATTTCTCACAGGGTGTTAATCAAATGAACAGTATAAGAAACAAATTACATTGTAAAGAGTTCCTGCCTCAAATTCCACTTTCACCTATGCCTAATAGTTAGCCATGTACAGGGTATATTTAGTTCCGCCATCATGAGATCGTGTCTGTAACTTATTCCCTAAGACAGACAACAAAGCACTGGAGCCTCTAAACACAATGTTTAATCTTGAAAAACGAGTATAAATCAAGTGAAGTGAGGGAACACATTCGGGATCCCAGATGTAAGCTAAACATGGATAAATTAACATTGTTACAGTGTCTTAGGTATGCCTACCATCTTCATAAACAATACAGATCCTCTGGCCATCAGCATTCCATTTCATGTCACGCACCACACTTCTGTTTCTGTTGTTGATCATTTCTTCATACCAAGAACCTATACTTGTGCATTTAAAAAAATATCCAGACAGAACAACCTCTAGTTTAGTAAAGTATTTATAATAATATTTTTAATAGTTCTCTTTAATCTGCTGCTAAATTGGTGTGTCTCTGTAATCCATTCTTGGTAAATGCACGCATGAAAGGTAAACATTTATTTATGTTTAGACTCATGTTGACCACTTTTGTGAACATGTAAATAAACCGTAACTGAAATTGTCCTGTTAAGTACATAAACTTGTTAAAATGGTTTCCTCTCACCAAAAAGCTGTTTATTTTATGCAACAAATTGAAAAAGCAATTTGCCAAAATTAATTTGTCAGCAGTCAATCTTAGCAGGCTACATTGAAAATTCTACCACTAAGAGAACCAATCACAATTATCCTTTTAATTGCGGACCAGTTCAGCCATATGCAGGACTAGAAAAAATCTAATTCTAGCTTGCCCTTGGGACAAGTAGCTCTAAAACTTTGTTGTCCTGGGCAAAGTTCTCTTTAATAGTTTGCTCTTTTAATTAATGATTTAGTTGGCAGACAACTTGCCTGATCTCCTAACTTGCGCAGAAGGAGAATCTACTAGTCCCGGAAGACAGGATAGCACTTTTTTTGAGCCCTGTATATAATAAAGTAATCTATTTTTCCTAGTTATTAGTCTTACTTCTGTGAACCAAATTATCATCACCAACCTTTGTAGAGAATCCAGACAATGATAAGGCCATACTGGTCACTAGTAGTCAACTTTTGAAAGTGTTCATTCCATGTTACTACTTGAACAGCACCTGGAAAACAGTACCCAGTCAATTAATCTTAGAAAATATTATTGCGCTGCAAATAAGGTTAATCTAATCGGCTGATTTCAGTAATTGGCCCTTGATATCCACTGTCTTACATGTAGTAGGGCAACCAATACAGATGTCATAAGGAATAAATCCAAAGCATTAGCCTCCATTTGGTGCGGAAATATGCTCAAATATTTGTCTGCGGACATTTCTGGTATCTGTTCTATGAAGCAGACAGTCTAGGTAATGTCCAAGCTGAGGACAAATCCGAGCCAAATGGAGGCTATTGTCAATGTTTATTATCCTTCAAATATTTTTTGCAACACACGCAGTTTGAAAATTGGGCAATATTTAACAGTTAGACCTGTAGCCCGCAAGGGGTACAGGTCAATAGCGAAGGGTCTAATTGTTTTAGTATCACATACCCAACTAGTCAGACACAAAAGGCAATTATAAAGTTAGCAAATGCAAGTTGGAGAAATATTTATTTGGGAATAAAACAAAAGAGAGTGTCACATTTGATTGCGCCAATTTCGCTACTCAAGGATCTAGTAGTGTAGCCAATCAGGATTTGCATTAGTTCACTAGTTGGTGATACTAAATAAACAACAGCCTCCATTTGGCGCGAAAATATGCATCGATATTTGTCCACGGACATTATCTCTGCAAGAAACAAATAGTTTTCCGAGAGTGTACAATGAAGCTTGAGGAAAACTGAAAAATCTTGGTTTTTTTTTTAAAATTTCTTAAGCTGCAAATACTATTTAATATGCTGAGTTTTCAAGCAGAGGAACCAAAGTTTCAACTAGATTAAGATGCACATCCTGCATGTGCATTACAAAGTATTTAAATAATCAGTATTTAATTATCCTAATACTTACCAGTGTGTCCCTCAAGGGTTTGGTTCATTGACAGGTTACTTGGAGCAGCAAGTCCTCTTACCTTTGCATCTTTTCCTGTTTTATGTAAAAACACAGTTTTTCTACCCATTTATCAAAACAGAAGGCAACATTTAACAAGATACTTTGAGTCAACTAACCAACCAAATCAGGCCCAGATTTTTGGCTCAGCAACTAAGGTCAGACTTATGAGAAAATATTTGGCTCCTGTTTATGTACAGTCGTGGTTTGCAAATGTGGGAGCCTCATGGTTAAGTGCAGACAACTCTGGATCAAGCTGTCTGGGTTTGAGTCCTGGCTGGGGACATTGCATGGGACTTGTGTTCTTGGGCATGACACTTAACTCTCACAGTACCTCTCTCCACCCAGGTGTATAAATGGGTAGTTAACAGCAAATTTTCATGCTACAGAAAATGGGATAATGGCTCCAGCCTGATGGCCACCTGGCTCGTATACAGACTTTACCTTTTATGGTCTGTGAATCTTTCTAAACAGTGCTACGTTCATATACCACAATTGCAACATTTTGAGTTAAAACCAATGAGTGTAAAACTAAAGACCTCTGTTTAGTTGAGGTAGTGGCCCATACTCTCACTTGGAAATTTGATTAAAGTCAAGAGAGTTGTCAAGGGAACATTACAAATAGAAAACTGCCACGTGCTACTTTCATGTTGCAGAAGCAAATTTTTGTTTATGGGAAAGAAAAAAACAACATGCTCCTTAATTTTTCAGGACCATTTTCCTTTTGTATATACAGCAATTACGTTTCCTCATTTATTCACCAAAGCAAGAAATTTGGGAAACAATGTTCCCACTAAAATATTGTTAAACAAGCTATTAATAATTAGTTTAAGACTCATTCCTTAGTTGACATACCCTCAGGGCTACCCAGACCCCATTAAAACTCAGCATGCCTTAGTTCTGATCCTGGAAAACTGGGCACTCCATGCATAACATGTATTTACTTTTATTTACTTTCGACTGATGTACATAAGCATAATATTATAAAGTTATTTTGAAAATAATATTTTAATTTAATATCATATTTGTAAATTTTTATTATCAGTGTTTGTATTTTGCAGTTATTTGTATATGTTAGGCCCACATCAGCCTATGGCTGCCTTATTTTTAACCTACGTATCAAATAAAGTACATGTATGTAGGTATGTGTATTTATGTTAATGTACATGTATACAGTGTATCAAAACCCTTCTCTAATTGCTGATTTAATGCTTTCAGTATCAAAGGATCCGAGTTAACTTCTATCACCGTGATCTACATGTATTACTCGCAAACTCAAATTATCATTTCAAAGGGTTAAGCCTATTACGTCTTAAAAATAAGCATAATTAAGACTAATAAAGTTATATTACCTTGCTGAGTCTCTAACTTGAGGACTTTGAGCATTCCATCCTCTCCTCCACAAGCTATGTAGCCCTGTTCTCGATTCCAGGCCAGACATCTCAGCTTGACGTTATTGGGTATGGCAATCTACAAATTAAACATAAATTTGGACTAAATATCAGGAAAAAAAATAGCGTAGGTTCAGAAAAAAAAATTCACCTTGACAACGTTCGCGACGTAAACAAACTTGTATTTTTGAAATTATTGAGCCAGAAAACAGGAAAAACGTACCTTTTTGCTCAGGTATATAAACATGGCTTATCTTTTTTCTTTTAAGACAGACAAAGAAGTAGCATTGCCTTCATCTACCTTTGATTGTAGTTAAATTTTTCTCAACTAACAGTCGCCGCCATTTTCAGAAGGACAAATACCCATAGGACAGTTCGAGCAGCATGGAAATAATGGAGAAGGTTCATTTCGTGTTACATGAACGAGAAGATGGCGGCCAAAATGGCGGTCGGAGGAGTACTTCGCTGGGTATGTTCATCTATGTCCTTAACTTTGTAGCAGGTTTCTAGCCTGTGAATACACCTTAAAAGAGGAAATTAGGGAAGCTTTGAGAGCTAGCGTTTTTGTAGTTACAGTAATCAC